CAGATGCCTACCCCCGGCAGTTGGCACACTAATAGGCACTAAGCTAAACGCGCCACATACACACACAGACACACGCACGAATGTACACACACCATGCACACACGCACGCACGCACACGCACCACACACGACACAGCACACACACACACACACATCAACACAAGCACACACACAACACACACATCACACACACGACACACGCAGCGCAAATGCGCACGCATCGCACGCGCACGCACCAACGCACTGCACGAACGCGCGCGCTGACTAACACACGACACACACACACACACACTACAAATCACACACCACAGTCTCACAGCATTACGCACGCACAAGCGAACCACAACACGCGCGCGCGCGCACGAGAAAGAGGGAGAGAGAAAGAGAGAGAGAGAGGGAGAGAGAAAGAGAGAGAGAGAAGGAGAGAGAGAGAAAACGAGACAGAGAGAGAGAGAGAGAGAGAAAGAGAGAAAGAGAGAGAGAGGGAGAGAGGGAGAGAGAGAGAAAAGCGAGACAGAGAGAGAGAGAGAGAGAAGAGAGAGAGAGAGAGAGAGGAGAGAGAGCGCGAGCGAGAAGAGACGAGCGAGGAGAAGCGAGCGAGAAGAGAGAGAGAGAGAGAAAAAAAGCGAGAGAGAGAGAAGAGAGAGAGAGAGATGAGAGACGAGAGAGAGTGATAGAGCGAGAGAGAAGAGAGAGAGAGCGATAGAGAGAGAGAGAGAGAGAGAGAAGAGAGAGAGAGAGAGAAAGAGAGAGAGAGAGAGAAGAGAGAAGAGAGATACGATATGAGAGAGAGAGCGCGCGAATAGAGAGAGAGAGAGAGAAGAGTAGAGTAGAGAGAAGAAGGCGAGAAAGAGAGAGCGAGAGAGAGAGAGAGGGCGAGAGAGAGAGAGGCGAGACAGCTAGAAAGGTAAAAAACTGAAGAAGGCCGATAGTTTAGTGAGGTGGATGGCGAACGGTCAAATAATATATACTTGGGAAGAATTTCGTAGAGCAGCTGCTCGGATTTGCGTTTCTCGTCGAGAAAGGCTATCGTCCTCTCCTCTACCAGGCTCTCAGAGATCTCAGGGCATACTGTTCCCATCCTCTTCAATAGATGCATCGAGTCATATTCCTTACCGGTCCTGCTTTAGTATCAGGAGTGCATAATATAGATATTATTATATATTATTATCCTATATTATACTATATTATACACTCCTGTCATTATGGTATGCAGAGCCGTATATAGAGTCTATAGAGTCTATAGAGTCTATATATAGAGAGTATATAGAGTCTATAGTCACCATAGCTCTGTTGGTATGTGCCCGGGAACGCCATCTGCCGGACACAGCAGGTGAAAGCACAGCGAGTAGGTGAAGCAAAACGGTAAGAGCCTCTAATATTAGCTGCACGAGGGAAACGAAAAAAGTGCATTCCATGGACAGATCACCATCAGCATCACCGCACACACACGGGTTTGACTGTTGCTAGTCTAGTTAAAATGTCTATGGTAATGATACGGCTTGTTTAGTGCTGACCATATGCTGCTTTGCTCATTAATTTTATGTTCGGACTAGATCGACAATCCGAATTCGTCAGGCAAGCCCCTCCAAAAACCAAATTAGAAAATTTTTACATTTTATCTCCGTTTTTAACACGTGTGCTTCTCATTACCGGGTTCATGGCGTGAGCCCTAGGTCGCGCATCCTGACTACTATGCCGTGTTGCTGCTACTGGCTGCCTCTAGCTCGTTTGTTGCTAACTCGCATGTTGCTAACTGTTGGCTGCTACTGCTGCTGCTACTATGTTGTTTGCTACTGCTGTTGCACTGCAGCTGCTGTTTGTTGCTGGTACTGCTGCTACTGCTATCACTGCTGCTGCTACTCCTGTTATACTGGCTGGCTGATACTGCTGCTGTCTGTCTGCTGCTGCTGCACTGTTCTACTATGCTCTAGTCTATAGCTGCTGTTACTTGCTGTTGCGTACTGCTGGTTGGCTGGCTTTACTACTAGCTACTAACACTACTAACTACTACTTAATAACTAATATATATATAAATAATAATAATAATAAATTAATAATAATTCACTTATTATTATATGTTCCAAACAGTGGATCACAGGCATTAGCAGGTAGCTTCTGGTAGACGCGTGTCCAACCTGGGACATTGCGGGATTCAATCCAGATTGTTGTTATTATTATTTATTTGATATTATTATTATTAAACTCACTTGTCGATCTTGGCGATGTCTAGTTTGATGGCGTGGAATGTCGGGCGGGAGGCGGGGTCCTCGGCCCAGCAGTCTTGGATTGAGTTGTGCTAGCTCGCTGCTGGCACGCGTCGTCGTGAAGCCGCGGCCGGTAGTACGGCGTCATGCCCTGCTCCACCCGCTTAACCACCTCTAAACATACACATAAACACTGACATATGTTACCACATCACGCAGTCAGCCACCACGGCACCAGCACACAGCACACACACATCACACACACACACACACACACATAGCGCACACAACACACACATACATTCACACACACACACTTCCACATCACGCACGCAACACACACCATCACACGACACACATCACACACACACACACACACAAACCACGCACACCACAGAGTACACACACACACACACACACGTGACACACTACACATACACACGAACAACACAGTCACACGACACACACACACACACACGCACACACCAACCCAGCACAGACACACGTACGCACACACACACACAGCATCGCGCATGCACGCACGCACGCACATAATATATATATATGGATAGATAAGATTAGATAGATAGATAGATAGATAGATAGCAACTACACACCGCGCGCGCACGCACGGCACGCATATTATATATATATATATATATTATATATATGATAAATAGATAGATAGATATAGATAGATAGATAGATAGATAGATAGATAAATAGATAGATAATAGATAGATAGATAGATAGATAGATATGATAGATAGATAGAAGTAGATAGATTAGATAGATAGATAGATAGATTAGATAGATTAGATAAGACATATGCACACAACATGACAGCTCTGTACATGGCTTCATACATTAGCCCGTTTTAATTTGCGCATACATTAGCGTCCTTTAAACTCTATTAGTTACTACTAAGTACGACATGGTCGCAACTCACGTAGCGCCGTACATGGCGCCTCAACATTAGGTTTGATTTGAAGTTATAGTTACGGTTCAGATTAAAGCTACGTATAAATATAACCTGACCTCAACTCTAACTCTAACTATACCCGGTAGCTTAACCCCAACGTCATCGTATTGACTCTCGTGGGCCAGCATAGTTTTATTATTATTATTATTATTATTATTATTATTATTATTATTATTATTACTACTACTATTTTATTATCGCGTTTTGTCGTTAAGTATCATTATTAATAATAATTATTATTGATATTCGATTTTTTTTAATCATTATTATTATTATCATTATCATCATCATCATTATCATCATCGTCATCATCATCACCATCATCATCATCATCATCATCATCATCATCATCATCATCATCATCCACGCTATACCCTGTGCTTCCAGGTAGCTGTCATCGCCATCGTACGGTGCCTGTCGATTGACGATCTCCCACGTGATGATGGCGAAGCTGTAGATATCGCCCTTCTGTGTGCCATTCCACGCTACTTGCGTGCTGCGCAGATGCTCTGGGGCCGTCCACAACAGTCCTGTAAACACCCGGGGGGTGAATTGGGAGGAGGAAGACCACTAATCTCTATATATTAACGTCTAACCGTAACTCAAACTTGGGAGCACGCTAAGGGGGTGTGTGGGGGGCCGTCCCCCAGAAAAATTTTGAAATTAGACTCCCTCAGATGCGTTTTCTGCGCGAGCAGGGAAGGGTCCGGACACCCTAGACTCCCTCCCCCACCCCTGTACGCGCCCCTGCACCAACGACAAGGATATCTGTACAGCCGAACCAAAATCTCACGCGCGCACCGCCATCCAGGAAGAGGAATTCGTCTTCCGAAAGCGGCCACGCGATGGCGCCGCGATCGGTCGTACTCACGGTGGGCGTTGTCACAAGCGGTTTGCTCTTCCTCGTCGATGACGTCACGAAAGCCCTTCAGTCCGAAGTCGGTGATCTTGAGCACGAAGCGCGAGTCGATGACGCAGTTCGATGACTTCAGCTTGCCGTGTGAGCGTATGCTCGACTCGTGCAAGTAGTGCATGCCCTGCGGACATAATTATAGAGAGACATAGAGAGGCCGCAGACATACATATAGAGAGGCCAGTAAGTTACGTATGCGTAGACCCATAGAAACGGTAGCAACAATGAATTACTACAACAAGTCCATGATCTGGGTCATAATCCGCCTACAATGAGCTATAATTAGTTAGGAATAATAATTAATAAAGACAATTTTTTTAATAATTGATGGTTAATCAGAATCATCAGGTAAGACAGGAACGTTGAACAGGTGTTATTCTCTCTAACTTACGTTGATTATGTCGCGTATGATCGAGTACTTGAAGGTCCAGTCCAACTTAATGGATTCATTGAGCACAATTTCCTGAAAAAAACCCGCAGGAAATGACATACGTACGTCATAGGAGGGCGTAGGTCAGCATGGGATGCGTCAATCTATTGATGCTTATGGTGTGGCCAAATTCCCCGGTTTACACACATGTAGAGAGATATGTGCTATTTCTACTGCTCGTTGGAGTGATGATCGATTTAGATCCAATAATTCCTAGTTTTTTTATTATAAATGCTATTTCTATTTCTATTGTTCGGCCGAGTGGTAATCGAGTTAGATCTTACCTGAGTGAAGCAGAGTCACACATCTTACCTGAGTGAATCAGAGTCACACATCTTACCTGAGTGAAGCAGAGTCACACATCTTACCTGAATGAAGCAGAGTCACACATCTTACCTGAATGAAGCAGAGTCACACATCTTACCCGAATGAAGTCCAATTCGAAGATTGAGTTTTACGCCGGGACGATGACGGATTTGAAAATGATCGATCGCTTCGAGTAGGTTCAAGGACATTCGCGCAATATTGCAAGCGTGATTGATTCCATTCTTGATAGGAATGCCTGAGCAAACCATGTACGCATCCCCGATGGTCTCAACCTGAAAAAAAACATTTTTATATTTTACTTATTTAATACTTAATACCTATTTAACCTTTTAATATAAATTTTACTTTTTTCTATGGAGTGTTTGTTACGCGTGCGCGATTTTATCGTTCTTGTAACTAACGCTTTAGGTGTAAACAACTAGTGAACGTTCAAAGTACAATACCTAATTGCGTTTACAAAAAAGGGGAAATAAACCGTGAACTTCGTGTATGAAATTCGCGTTCACATGCTTATGGACAGGTTTCATTCAGTTGTTGAAAAAAAACACAGTTGTTGATTTTACATAGTCTTTAATATATTTAATATTATAAGAAATTTAAGTGAGATTTGTTAAATCTACCTCTTCTAAGACGACCGGCACTTTAATTCGGGCAGCATATTATTGGCCCTATTTTTATTGTTATTTAAAATTCGTAGGTGTGGTGTACGATTATTTCAAAGCTGGTGTGTTTGTGCGTACCTTATAAACATCAAAGTGTTCCAGTATGCCATCGAAACACGTGTACAGGTCATTTAAAAGGTCGACAACCTGTCGGAAACATGAAAGTTTTTGCTAAAATAAACCAAGCATTCGGTGCTAAAACAAAATTATTCAAATAAAATGCGTGGTTATAGCAACATATGACCGTGTATAAGGTGGCGGGATTACATAACAACATGTTGAAGTTATTCCAGTTTAGTTAAATCGTCTAGAAACAAAAATATTCTCAATTTTACGTGCCAAGGCAAGTTAATTTTTCCTGTTCCTTTAACTGTATTTTTTTAAGAGCACGTTATCTCCAGCACGGTATTTTTATACAAATTCGCCTAAATGTAAAACTTGAAAATTAATCCGATCTCTGCAACAGTTGTAGTACATATGCCCTAAATTGGCATTAAAAACTAGACACTAATAAGAATTTCCATTGGCTGAATATTCGGCTGTAAGAAGATCAACAGTACAAAAATCAGGATGTTTATCATCGCATTTCCATCGAGAAAAACATTTATTATACAAAAGCTGTCACCTGCATAGGTGTACTCTGGGCAGATAGCTGCGTAAACTCTACTATGTCACTAAAGTAGATGGTGACACTTTCGAATGACTCTGGTTGCACCGACTTCCCGCTCACCAGTTGCTTGGCGACAGACCTAGATACAAAAACCACAATACACA